TGATGTTATCCATAGAATATCTGAAAAGCCCGCTGCTTGTAGCATTTAACTAGCGTGAAATTGGCTGGCACAGCCATGAATTCCGAACCAAGTATCTAGAATTGTAATTGTAGTTTACCTCGTTGGTCCCAGCTTATGTTATGGTGCGCAGTAAACATAGCATACAATACCTCAGCGTATTTTCTTACCGTTCGGCTTATTCTTCCATAATGCATTTATTCCAGATGTACCGGTTCTACGCTAATGGCATACGAACATTCCACTGAAGACAATGGAATTCGGCGAAAATGATAGTAACTACCCCAGCAGTTCTATAACGTCCTCCTAGTAAAGTTCCAATTGCGCTCCTCCGGCTCTGATAAACAATGGTATCCCGCAACCAAAGTTTTCACTCCATTTATGCAGACTAGCTGCGTTTTGTCTCACTGGAAGGATACTTAAGTACATCTGCGACATAAAGACGACTAAACGATAACGCTTCAAACTATCGCCTGAAGAATCATCCACCTATATTCATCAAATTCATGAAAAAATGTAAAGGACAGGGGTTCCATTTCCTGCTTTCAAGAAAACTCGTAAGCAAGTCGTAGCACATTTTTTCAACTATCTTTCAACCTATTTGTGCCTACCGGAGGCTCGTCATGATCGGTTGATTTTCACTGTCCAATCAGATATTACTTTCCCCATACTCTGCTGATTTTATCCTGTCTAAAAGTACCACCGAACTTCTAATTAATCCGTAGGTTAAACACCAAAACACGCTTGTCTATGTAAATGTTCATGAAAATACTGTTCCATATCCAAAAGCTTTCATTTGCATTGATTAGAGCTATGTACTCACATACAGAGGGAACATTCAATCTCACCTTTTAAAGCATTCACGTGTAATAACCAAGCCCCTGGTGTGTAAATACATCCTTATTATTCTCATTATTAATCGGTTTAAATGTGGTTTCCTACTGCAACGTTGCAATATGTGGAGATAACTGCCTGCACGAAATGTCTAAAGAAAGTCTCCCACCTGTTAAGTCCCAATGTTTGACAAAGTGGAGAAAGCACAAAGATACATTACTCACAATACATGCGAATTTTTGCATCGAATGTCTGCGTACTGTGAGTTAACAGCGGTTATTTGTAAGGTCACTACATTAGGATGGTATAACAGTTGCCGCACAAAGCGTGGGATGATTAACTAGTTTCCACATCGAAGGATCAGTTCAACTCATTGCTTGCTTAAGCGCCAGAATAAGATGTGTCTATCATGTATGCCGTGAACACTTATTCAACACTCGTTATACTCTATAGCTAAAACGCGTTCGTCTACCAAAAGCAATTGATGAACACAATCTCACCATAAATTTTCAACCATCAGATTCCGTCATTAACTCGAAGTTATGTTAAAAATGTCCACTGTTGCATTGAGACGCCACAAGTTAGAAACTGTTTTCATCTGGATTCAACTTAGCAGTTACACTAAATAAATCTTACAGCCTATGGACTGAAGCTTTTTCTGCAGTTGAAAGCAGTATTTTCTAGTTGGACACCGAGCAGCGAGTACGCAAGCGGCTGGTTTAGAGCTAGAATGATAGACCCAGATAAAGTGTTCAGTGTCAGCGAAGTGCGGCATTGTAGCATTTTAACGAAATGAGCTGCGGCAAAATAAGAATGTGGTAATACTGATACCCGATACGGAGTAGTAATATTTGAAAAACAAGACCAAAAGAAGGAATCAAAAATACTTATTGCCTGATCTAATCGTTGCCTTTGTGATGAAGCAGACCGCGAAGAATCCGAGTGAGTAGATAATGCAATAGTTAGTGGATTGAAGAAATGCTTGCGGTCAGGATTTGTTGATGCACAACTTTGGAACAGTTTCGCCCTCGGGGCCCTCGATGTTCTCATGAGTATCGTCTACCAAAAGCTCAGAAGCAAAATATCGTCATATGTTCAATAGTTCCGCTGATGGCCGCGCGGTAACAAAAGTGCCAAATGTCTAACCAATTTTATCGAGCCCATCCGGAGGTAACCATCCAGATACAGCCTGAGAGATACTCCAGAATTGTGGAAAATTTTGGGATTTTAACCTGGAGAAAAAGTTGCGGGATCAATCTCGATATATGCTCATTATTCACAAAGATAAATTTGAAAAAATCATAGGACATATTAGCGAGACATTTAGAATATTTGGGTTCCCAACTCCAGCGGTACTCTGCCTATAGAAAATATATTCATTTCCCATACAGTGGAACACTATATTGACAGATTGACGACTTGGCCATGGGTATTGCACTAAGCATATTTAAGTCTGTAGAATTTGCACAAATTTTGGTTAGTATATAGACCACTTTATACCTAAAGTACAAGAGGAACATGTGCCATCCTGCGACCAGCCGCACGATGGAAAGCGAAATTAAAGGATCCTTTTATATCTGAAATATAACTTTACGCATGAAGAAAAACATCGCTCTAGTTTGGTCTGTATACCTATTTCTTCAAGTTTGCTCTCCGGGTAAAATCGACAGCCAACGGGAACGCGTCAAGTCGCCAACATAAAAAAGGGATACACCGAGCGATTCATAAGAACTTACGCAAAAAGGCAACCCATAGATAAAATGATGCTCCTAACAAAATGGTAATTATTAACCTGCCGCTTAAAGGGGATCAAGTTGACTGGAGATGTCGGTGTCGTCTCCAGCTATCTGTTAACAATTGATGGTATGCAGCTGCGCCAGTGATATTTTATCAAGTCAGAAATATTATGTGCAGATCCAAGATATACTCAAAAGACCGCGTTACACATCTGCGCTTTTAAATGTATGTGCGGGTTCAAGTACACTGGCAAGTCTGAGAGATGACTGATAGCAAGGAATGCAGAGCAAATCCAGCGTTGCATGGTTGCAAATAGCTAACAGAAACCACTTTACAACATTGTCACATGCTCTGTGTGTCGAAACCCAGGTGTAGCGTTGCTGTTAATTACCAAACAAAGCAACCACTTGTTAGTTCATTTCACTGAATCCGCAGCTAGTCTACATTTGAAACCAAGATTGTCCAGAGAGAGAGAGAGTCCGTGCTCAATCTAGTCCTATCCTTGTGAGGTCAGTGAACCTTTTGTCATCTGACAGGCGTTAGATGAACACAGTGGCTTTCAGCTGAGTTAACTTCATTATACCATCGCACTTTGATTGTTTTATATTGGCATCCTATTTATTCCACAAATTTCTGTACGTGGATTATGTGAAAACGCAAAATATCCGGCTTCATTATACCCTGTGAAAGCTAGCTACGTTTTGTGACACCAATTCCTATTACAACCTGAAGGTGCCCTTTTTAAGTTGCTTACATCTAATCATGGTTCTTCTCTCAGCCCGTTCTTTTATCCACCAAGTAAAACAACCGCTATCTACTTCTCATGGTCCTGCCACTATCATGGGAATTTCTATAGCTTACTACTCAGTAACATTACTGCAGCTACATATTTATGCTGCTTTAGTAACGCCATGTTTTCCCTAATTTATGTCTAGTGTCTAAATTTTACTCTTAAATTCCTTTTCATTTTGAACATCATTGTTTGCCGACTGGCAGCGATGAACGTCATTCTTAATCTTCTATTGATCTACTTAATAGCATACCAGTTCCCAAAGCTAGTATTAAAACATCCCAAGAGCCTCATCAGTTTTATTTACAACCATATTTAGTGCGTACAGTAAAATTTGTTTTTAGACATTTTTCAAACTGATGGTGTACGCTGTGCTACATATTAATATATCTGTTGCATAGAAGTGATTAGAATAACATTAAGTTATTGCTATTTTAGCATATATTTTCTTCTTTGGACAAAAATGAACACTAAAGAAATGCTCTATTTTTATTTTCCGCATTAGGTTCGGTTCCGGTACGTACTGAAATTCCGCAAATATCTTCCAGTGCAAGCTATATAATATTTATATTGTTCTTTATGTCTATTGTGGTCCACACAGGAGCGCCTTCATATCTATTAGGGTATGTTTCATTCACAAAGACGTCCTATGATGCTATGGTCAGTTGTTTTTATAGCGTTAGATCGCATGGACTCAAATGCAGCAATACATGCTATGTAGGATGAGCAATGCCATCTTTGGTATTTCTTTTTTACACGTTATTCATCAAAACACTTGACAATCAGTCCGTTTCTCCTGTAATTTCCTCACTGATTAAGAGGAATCTTTTCCTCCCTCTAACCTGTCTGACAAGTAACCATGCTAGAGAGACTATCCTTCTTACACCATAGCTTTGGCGGATCAAGGTCTTCTCACTATATCTGTTTAAGGGAGGACATATTTTGCGGAATTAAAACAGTAACCGGGGGTCAAGTGATATGCAGCATTGACTTACATAAACCATATTTTGCCTGTTTTCCGCTCCATAAACTTCACCACCATGGTGCTAGGGCACACCAAACACTACTCATAGAATATCATTTTGAAAAGAAATCCGTGAATTTATTGCGTTGGTACAACTTCACCCAAGACTCTTGACAAATGCTTCCTATTGGGCACAAATGCATTATGTCAATTGATTCGCCTTGATGATGGAGGACTGGAATGCACACTACTATCGCGATTTCTGCTTAATTTAGTTTCCTAAATACGTGCACGTCACGATTCTTTATGGCACGATGCCTTCAGTAGTAGTACCGCCTAAACTACGACCTATGTGCGATTAGATCGCGATACACAATCTAGGTTAAGACTTCGATATACTTTATAGCGGACCTCGGTTATTAACATCACCAAGCCTGGACCAGAAGTGATAGGGTCTCTGTGTTGCACCTCCCTGCAACGTCCCAAGTACTAAGCAAATCTGCGCAGAGAATATATTCCGGTAACATATCACGGGTTAATCGGCATGCAGGACGAATAAATGCGTATCAATATTGGTAGTAGAAAACTCTCGCGCCAACCTACACGTGACCTCATGAGAAAAAACCAGCCAATTAAAGCTGAAGCAGTAAAAAGAAATTTTGTTGACAAAATTGCAGTCTTTATTAGAGGAATTAATCAACTGATCTCAAATATCCATCGGACACAATTTTCTGTGCACTCCTTTGACATTGTTGAAAAAATCGTTAGCGCGAATCTGCAAAATTTAGACGCATCATGTGAAAAAACAATGGCATCATTAGGTAACATATATTTCTACGTATTCGCAACGGTTGATCATTCGGACTTCAAGTAGTAGCAATCTGTGTTTCTATTCAACATATTGTGTTCAATTTAAGTAATCTTGTGGACAGCGATTCTCATTAAACAGATCCTCAGTCAAATCAACCACTGAGACCGTAACTGATGAAGGTGGCAGGTGTTGCCCTCCCGAAAACACTACATTGAATGACAGGCTCCAAACTAATTTATCACATCAGGTAGAGGTCGAAGGGACGCAAAATCGAAGACCATTGGATGTCAGCTAAAGCTAAACTACTTTAGCCACAAAGTCACGATCGGCAAACGTTGTCGCGCAGCTTAATGACTGACCACTGGGCCATTGTTAACCATTGGTTACGCGAACGTATTGCGTTTCGAAATAAGTTGAACAATGCCCAATATTCATTAGCTAAACCAGTAGGATTTAGACAGGTCTTTAGATTGCGTCACTTCGACCTAATCAAAGAATTGCGCCAGATCAGCGCACATTAATCATTCCGCCAAATGTGGAAGACAAAACGAAAAATTGGCATTGTACTTTAGCTGCACAAACACTTGGTAAACGAATACCCTAGTGAATTACGAAAACAGTATGATTTGATTATAATTTCGGCACAGAAAGCATATGCCTTTGTCCTTTCATGAAAATAAGTAGGGCTGGTTCAAACGAATTGCCGACAAGCTTTAAAATATTCTCGAAATATGGTGTCGCAATGCCAGACCTCATACCGAGATTGGGATGTATTCTGTAAGCAGCGATATCTATTCTAACGGACCATTGCTAATAACTTCAGGTGGAGAGATAATTTACGACTTCTTTCTGTTCATCATTTCTGTCGTGGACATTACTAAAGCATTACTTGCTGTGGAAAGTAAGTAACCAGCTTACTAGTTAAAAGCTCACTCACTTTGAGAAACATCCGCCAAACGATCAATCAATATCACATATGTGTTCATTGTTTTGAACGAGTCTGATAAAAGATGAGAATTGCACACATCAGTTGCAAAATAATTTTAACTGATCCCTATATATTGAAGCCATTTTCTTTCTCATAGTGAAAAGTGCATTTGTAATGGCGTATTGTGAACCAAAATACATACTCTTTTTGCTAGTTTCAGGTCGCTGAGCTACCCTCTAGCTTGGACCGCGAAAACGTCAGATAGAAATTGAGAAGTAATGTGTTGTTTTACCTCTAAACTCCACTTGCTTTGCTGACCACTTAGTAGCATACTTGTGGTTGTTTTGTTTAGGCTATTTATTGTAGTTCCTGTGATTAAACCCACACTTAGCGTTTGGGAATGTGAACAGTAGGTATATGTTGATCGGGATAGTTTCGTTGTACTGAAGTTGGCATGGGACTAGAAAATTTAACAATAGAAAAGAAAGCTCTTCAAGCATATTGCTGCTCATTATTTGTTACCGAATCACAAATGGAGGCCAACAATCCTTACGGAATAAGAACATACATGTAGGTTGTATATATATATATATATATATATATAAATGATATCCCCAGTAGTAAATGAAAGCTTAATAGATTTTAGCAGTTACAAATCAAACTGGAATTGCACGACCTGCACAGGGGTACTCTGATGAGAACAATATTTTGCTTATCCACTCTACAGTTGGACCGAATTTATTTAATCTATACATGATGTTCGACTGTATATCTTTAATACTCATTCCGAAATGATCCACTTTCATGAGCCCGACTAGGTTCCAATTTTACCACTGTGTTGTTCATAGTCTTTCAATTCTCACTACTTGATAGTGTGCTAATCTGTCTGATTAAGAACCGTGAAATTCACCATAGCAAATGGTTACTGATGACTACCATTTTTACCAGCATAGGTGTGCAACTCAATACCAGTGGATCAGAGGTTCATATCCTCAGAGAACGGAGAAATTTTCAAGTAAATAATTGTTTGACTTTGACTACACTCATGTTTGGCTGTGCAGTTTAGCCCAAATGTTAAGGTAATCTTGACAAAGATGAACGATATGCGGAGTTGCATTTGCTTACATCTGCTTATTGTTCCTTACGTGTTGCGTAGTATGGGCAATACGCATACTTGTTTCTATTAAATGTCAATACTAATTGGCTGCAAATACTCACTGCAACGATTCCACTGCACTGATTAAGTAGTGGTCACCGAATGTTCTATGTCCACTTACGTGTGTGAATTTCTTGATTGATTCCAAGGAGGTTCTCAAGTAAGGAATGTTCTTCCATTGTTACTGTTCGGAGGAATTAAAGATACAGCGCAATGTAGGCTATGGGAACAACACAATTAAATCTGACAAACAACAATTAACAAGCTGACGGCTATCATGCTCAACACTGATTCTAATGCAATGCATCCGGTTCATACGGTTTGCAGGCAAATGTTGGTTGCTTTAATTATGTGATGGACTGCGTATCTAGCTGAGCTTTAATGGCAGCATGTAATTCGAACGAAAATTGATACGAAGTGCGGATCCGGTAGTTCAAGCGTTATTTTGTGTGCTATTTTTAATACGGTCTTGGAGAAATACAATGCCATTCAGAGCACATTGGCATGTCCTTTATATGCAACGGTTGTATCCACATTGTAGCAAAAATGTGTCGTCAATATGTGGTTGGCAATTTGGTGCAAACTTGGAGTGCTACCTTATTGCGCAGTTAGGACGCAATGAGCCAAGCTTCAATCAAATTCGCTGTTTTGAGAAATTCGAAAGAAAGCGAATTTTGTTGTAAACTGTTGAGTGTGTCTGCGCAACTGCTTTCAAGTCAGATAGTCCACTGCATGCCCAAAAATTCACTAGCTGTTCGACCCTGTACTCTGTAACTTTCGTAAATTACATGGCAGTGGAGGATGAGAAGTGTCATGACCCAGTTAGCTAGCAACTCGTGACTGTCCAACACCGTCCCCCATGGCTAAGTAACGTAAGCTGGTGATTTATGATACAAGCCGCTAGTGGTCATGGGTTCGATTCCTGATTAAGCCGATGGATTTGCACTGCTGACTAGACCCAACTGTCGGAAACTGTGGTCCAGTATTTTCAAGGCATGTGGAAAACTACCTAATTAGAACCCATTGCGACGAAATCCCAAGCAATTATAAACAGATATCGCTTGCTGAAACCATAATCACTATTAGAATACAGCACGTTTTAGAAGATATAAGTTGTTAAGACTGCCCTTCCCACCTTGCAAAGGTGATAACCATTGATCTCGAGGACATACTGTTATACTTATTGTTAAAACCCTGAATCGGAAATGGATTAAATGGTAAGCTGCAAAAGACAAACAAAATTAGGCTATAGATCTTCAGCCTATTTTTCAGAACATAATGATATAATAATTTACGAAACGCCTAATAATATCATTCAATCGAATATTAATCCTTTTCCTTTATGCTAAATACAAGTACTTAGTTATACAGGTCGTTGACCATAATGCACTTATTTATGAGGATAACGTTATAGGAGCCACATCTCAACACTTAAAGGAGGCGCTAAATGTTTTTCATTTGTTTGAGAAAAATCTTTGGGTAAAACAATTTCTTCTACTTTGGCTGCCGAGGTGACTAGTAAAATACCGCCAAAACATAGGGCAATTTTAATGTCTTACAAATTCCTGTCTTCCTGATATATCAAACTCACACTTTGTTTGGTTCACGAAGTCGAATGCTGTAAGCAACAGAGTTTCCTGTCGGGCTAATACGCCTGATGAAGCGGAAAAATGCAGCTGTGAATTAATATTGAGGACAATTTCTTCTAACGAAATGTGAATGCTGGGTTGGCTTAAACGTTCGCATGAATAAACGACAGTGAGCTTGTCAAGCCGTATTTGGGCCTGAGGTATACACGGAGAAACGTATCATTACTTGTAATATCGCTGGTAACAAAGGATTTAACTTGTCAAAATAACTATGCCTACAAACGTATTGAAGTAAGACAAATTATGTGGGAAAAGCGAGGTGTTGCAAATATTGAGCAGTCAAAATATATCATCATATGGTAATAACTGATGTAAGTTGGACAGCTAACGCAGTACACTCCGACTGTGAATTACCGTATGCGCTTTTGATGTCAGACAATCCAGATAGTGGAAACATGTTTACTGTTCAAACTACCTAGAGTGTTTCATTAGAAGATGGAAGCTGTCTATAATTTGGCGTTGGGATCTGTACATAGGGTCTTGAGATTTTGGGATCTGCTCATAGGTTTATATTATTAAGGTAGAAGCAACTGTTTGTGATAGGTTATAATCTCTGTTCTAAGGAACAACTTAACTCATGGGCGAAAATCTGTTATTTTTAGTTGTTTTGGTTGCTCAAAAGCCGGTTTGTATTTTGTGGGCATTCCCAATGGTTGACTGAAGTTGGGGCAATGGAAATATAATTGCAGCATATTTTCTATATTGGCTCATTTCACTGAGCCATACTCCATCACCTTAATCCACAAACACGTCATTTTATACAAACGAGTACGTCCAAACACAGAACAGAACTCAACCAATCGTTGAGATGCTGTAAAATGTTGTGGCTCACCTGTTATGTAGGATTCGATGTACATTCGCAAACTCGACAATAATGTGCTCGTGTGTTCAGCAGCTAAAGAAAATCAACCAAGAGGATTAGCAGCTTAGAGATGTGGCCTTTGGTAAAAGCAACACTACGAGGGAAAATAATTAGAGGGGTAACTTGGATACGGATGCGGGTTCGTCAACCATGTCTAATAGAATAAATATTTTCCGAAAAAACTCAAATAGCTGTGCAGTCTGAATGCTATGCGTTTTGTTCGCTGGTTTCCTGTCAGCCACTATTCTGTTGTCATCTCTCACCTGTATCCCGTCAACGGTTAAAATAACACTGAGGGTTTTCTCTCAGCTTGAAGAGATGCCATCTAAAGAGTTCAAAAGCAAATGCTGAACCGTCAACTGATTTCGCCACTTAAGTTTATCCGCATAACAGCAAATTATGTTTGATCACGGCAGCTAAACGTTGTGCGTCACTTATATGCCTTTAAAATTATTCAAATCATTTGGCGAAGCTGAGTATTAGTTGCGTCACTGGACCCTTAAACAATTTGTTATTTCTGCGTTGTTCAGTGGATTTGCTCAGAAGTGCCCAATGAAATTCACTTTATCTTCGAAGTTGAAAGAACGATTCTGAGAAATATGGATCACAGTTGATACGTAGGTACAGCTAGTTGCTGGGATGGTTCATTCCTAGGGCAGTGTCAAAGGGCATGTGAGTTTAACTGGAAGTACGTTGAGAACCTCCACGGGAAGCGAATTGTTAATAAGAAAGCACTGTCAGGCATACATAGACTAGGTGAAGGTATAAACCAGTCGGCATACTGAACGGCTCCTAGTCGTCCCAACAGAAATGCTATACGGGAAATAAGACTGGGTAGTGATAGTTGGCTAAGAACAGGTTAGCGTACAAAATACGCAAACATATGCTGAACACAAATAGAATCTACAGTCTTGTGTGTGAATTCTGTGCGCTCATTGGCGTTGTCCGCTAGACTTACACATATTCGGCATTGTCAATGATGCCATTCTTTGTAGGAATACTTCCGTCAGTTCTTCGGATCCTGTAACACGCAATATAAGGATACATACAGTGATTTGGCTGTGCCATTAAATATGTTGCTTCACAGTGTTCTATTTGAACACCGTGATTTTACGTATAACGGGTCTTATTGCACATCAAGAATTGGTTATTTCTGACAGTAGATGGTTTCAGGTTGGCCAACAAATGCTAGCATTTTGTTTATCCTTGGAGAAGTATACATATTTATATAAAGAAATACGAAGAAGAATATAACGAAATTACTGTGACCAAACTGTTCATTTCCACGACGCATATTGTGGAATAATGTTTGAACTGTAAAACATTTTGCTAGCAAATGTTAGTATTTCGCCAAAAATGAATACAAACAACCTTCAGTTTTTAGCTGCTGTTCCAGCCTTGATTCAATAGAGCATGTTTAATTGAATTGCATTAGCTTATAAATGTAGTCATTGCTTTCTTAACAACTTGTCAAGTAATTATAACTGTCCCTCAAATTTAAAACAACTTTTTATAGGTTGCTTAGCAGCAACTTTATATACACATCTGATCATCATTTAGGTTTGTGTACCACAAATATTCAGTCCATTGTTCTTAAGAAAATTCTGTGTGCATCTTTCGCAATAATGTAACCTGCAAGATTTGTACCCTAAGCTATCTATTGTCCCCAGAAGAGGGAAGCTGTCTCCAATTCTCGTCACCAAATGCATCCGCAGTGTTTGCCACCAGATTTGTAACATCCCATAATCCATTCACAATTTGTTTAACGTAAAAAGCCTTTTCTTAACTTTAACAATCGAAAAGTAGTTTCTAAAAACAAACGAATGAGTTTAAGAAAGGTCGTTCGATATTGCAGACAGGTAAAGACTGTCTACTTTTCATTAGGATAGTTGTAGCCGTTTGAAATGCTAGCAGATCTATAATTGTCCGTGCAATTTCTGAAAGTCAGCTTAGGTCCATTATACCAGCGTCCAATTAAGTAAATAAATTTTCATGAGCAGAAATTAAATGGTATCAATGGACTGTGGAATATAACCTATCAATTGCTGGATGCCGCAAAGAGTGTCAGCCGTCAGTAAACTGAATAGAATAAGTCAAAACGGATCAGTTGTTTAACAGATAACTATTTGAAATTTTAGATATATAACACGCTGTGTTTGGCACTCTTCAAAGCACGTGGCTACGATATCAGTGTTTTCTTGATCTCATGACCTGTTTGGAGTGTAGGCACTTGCGAGCAAATGCAATATTTAAATGGTTCATTCGGATCGTGGTATTCTGCGCTGAGTGAGAAATGATATACATCTGACTGCATTATTCAGCTATAGACACATGGATAAAACCAAATAATTATCCTCCTAAATCAAGCAGTTTACATGGTCAAGCTAAGATTAGATGACAAGGCGATCCAGGAGAGTTTCTGTGTAGCTCCGAATAGTGAAGTAAAGTTTGTAAGGTGAAACCATCAACGCGATTAAATTATTGAGCTTTCAGAATAAACTAACAAACTTGCAGTGTCATACGCAACTTCGGTTAATCAGGACCAATGTTTAGTGGAACCAGCAAAATTCCGAATCACCGAACTCTAATATTGGTCGCCATTAATCTTCTTTTATTTATTTATTCTTGAGGCGGACAACAGAGCAGTAACCGAAGAAAGTGCAACAACATATCTGGCCAAAAGAATAGCTTCCGTACTTGCAACTATAAATTGCAGTTGATGGATTAGACCTCGGTTCAATCTGATTTCCCATAATCCAACTACATGCAGCATAACCTCTGAAGTTAACCAACTCCATATCCCGATCACCGTTCTATGTCGACCGGCTAGTTTCCGCTGCTGCAACCTACACCATGTAAACCCTACGGATTTAGAACACTGTTTGTTAACCAACTAAGTATGGTAACCCCGTGGCCCAGTTCCTTGAACGGTCAAGTTAACGAGATTTAACTCCATACGTCCTGTAAAGCAAATTTGGCGAAATGTACACCAGATAAATCGTAAAGCCTACCTTTGGCTACCTGCACCCAAGTTTGTAGCATGGCGTCGTAATCGGCAGAGTTAAATTGAGAAGCTGAAAGGCAAAACGAGAAAACATTAGGGGGTCGCATTTTTGACTTTTCCCATTAGAGCACAGGAGGATTGGAATTCGAAGTAGGTGGAAATTTAAATACTAGCAGGTGGGACTACAGTTGAATTATCCCCATGTAACAAGGCTCATTTCATAGGTCAATCGGCTGTACTATACCAGATTGCTTTGCAATCCTTGGGGTTCCATCCCTAAGGAGTACACCTCGTACCAGCCAGAAACTACTGCAAGCAACATGCATTAGAATTTGAATGACAAAACACAAAAATCCTCTATTTACAAAGATACTTACTCGAATGTCGGCTGAGGATTTCAGCCACAGACTTGTAATTTTTGTTGTTGATTTCCTCCAACACTGGAAAAGCATTCAAAATGATAAATGTCATTAGGGGAAGCAAGAAAGTTGAAGTAAATGCGCATCGTTACTGAACTGCAGTCATGCACGCGTTTTGTGTTGCCTAATATGAAGTAGCGGTATTCTACATATTCGTCCACTGGTTTTACTTAATAACACAGGAAGGAATTGGTCAGAAATGGTATGTGACAACTTGAGGAACGAAGTTGGAACAGATGTGCGTTAGTGCTAATACTTGCTCCAGTATGCTCAAGCGTATAGTATGTGATAATCATATCTATGTATTATTTTAGACGCACGGAATGCGAGTTTTTCTGAGGCAGTATAGTTTGGAAATAAACTTAGAGGAACGCTGGATAACAATGATAACTTCGGCATCTATTGAATAAATTGGTGAATAGAATGATGCAGCCGCAGCCTTGTTCTACAGAGGAACTCATTGGAATTTAACATAGGTTTACAGATGAGCACATGGTTCTCCACCGTGCAACTTATACAAACAAGCGTTTGAAAACTGGCCCGGAAAACAATAACTAGTACTTTTGGTCTGGGCAAACGTGATGACTACAAGTAGCTTGAAAACGTTTGGCCAAGTAAAATAAGAAACTTAGACTTCTACTTCAGAGGTGCTAGAGAGCAATTTCTGGTACATAGCTCAAGTGTTTGTTGGTCAAGCCAACATCTTCTCCTTCTTCCCCGCCAGCACCTTATAATATTTAAATTAAAATGCCGTTTGGACACAAGAGCAAGCAGAATAGTTTTAGTTTTGGTCTTACACTGCAAAAGAACCATCGCCTGACAAACGAGAAACCTGATGCCAAAGTTAATTAAACGTAGAGCTCTTTATCTCGGCACAAAATCTTGCTCCGCCGTGTGTTGGGAACGACCATACGGATTTAATACTGCGAGGACTTTTAATGGTTTTAATTCCTCTGACTTCATCCGTCAATTCATATAAGCTGTGGACACGCCGTTTTTATTTCATGGTGCTCAACATGAAATACACAATTCGTCTCATGTATAGTAGATTTAACGTCTAAATATAGAGTATTTATTTTGAGCATGGAAAGAAAAAGTAGCAACTTTAGTCCCAAATGTGTTTCTCATGTGTGCATGCAGTCAGATGTGTGTTCGCCTAACAGCAGTTAATGCCATTCACTTTCCGGTTGACCAACAGATTATGCCCCACGAGGGCGCTCATAAAAGCAGTAGGTCAAGCATGTCGCCTGATTGACTTGGCCCAGGAAACAATCAACATATACATGAGCATTCGTAAATTTTTGTAGAAGTTGGCCAAGATAGACAATGTAAAATGCAGACATGCATTCGGATCCCTCATCTAAAACTTTCAGATTCCAAAAAGTACATACTTCCATACTATGCATTTATGGTATGAAGTCACTGGATTTAACATTTCTGCTCACAAGTTTAGTTATCATCGCAAGGAAAGCCTTCTGAGCAACGAGACAATCAGATGCTGTTGAAAACCAGCTGTTATGCACCTCAGAGTCTGGGGTTTAGCAGTTTCCGTTGAAACCGTTTAACTTCAGTTTGAAAATAGGCTTATATCTTACATTATATATTGGCATAGCAGATGATAACAATGTAGCCCGATTCGGCCGAGATTGTCAACGTCTGATTTACAGGAAGTCATGAAATTACCGTACGCCAGGTAAGAAACTATCTTTAGGTTAATAACAACACGTTGCCCACCGTGACCCGGTAGCCGAAGGGGTAGAGATTTCGGCTACTATTTCAATAGTCCAGGGATTAAGGCCAACTGTCTCCACCTAATGAGATGAAATTACATCGAAACGCGTCGTGGTTGTGCAGTGTTTTCGGGTGGACAACACCCAATTTCTAGCAGTTGGTGCCAAGACCTTTATCCAAACGCCACTCGCTTATTGATTGTAGCAATTGCCGGTGATAGAACACAGCGAGAACAAGGAAAAACTGCGATATCAGCGTGTACGGAGAAAAATATGAGTAAGCGTGGCAAATTAAATAGCTGATATTGAGCAGGCAATATGTATACCGAGCACATTTCGTATGTTGTACTCACTTTGCACAAAGGAGCGGGCCCCATGTGTAAGCATTTTGATAGCGTCATACAAGTAACCGGTTTCTAGGAGTAGCAAAAACAATAGGATACACAAAATCAAATCATCATGTCCCAGCAGTTTTCGAGTTGCTCAGGCGTACTTAGTGTAGAACATAGTTTAAAACATTCTGTCTAAATGTGCGACTATAGCCGGCAATGTTTACGATGTGGATTTCAGTCCATGCTGCATTTCCATCTTCAACACGCAAATTAATATTCTTGCCACCGCACAGTTATACGGTTAGCTGCGAACAGATATTCGGGCTGGTGCACGACAATGATCTATACACAATTATAAAGGAATTCACAAAAAATCACATCGCATAATTTGGTTGATTGCATATAAACTATTTCGATACTAGAGTAACTTGTTTATGGCGCATGCAGTTTATTTGAAATTGGAACGGAGCAGAGTAAAAGTCAGTGGTGTATGCACTGGACGATGAAAAATTTACTGCTCAGTCTAAGATTACAGAACAGTATTCATCACGTTAAACTTTGTGTTATCCACTAGGCAACCTTCGAATCTTCTGCGTGCCTTAGCTTGCGCCTGAGGATGGGTAAGGTGCACAAACAGACTTCATTTAATCAACACTGCGAACAACCAGGACGAGGAAATATCAGCATCTATTGTCTTATGAATAGGATAGAAGGAGACACTGAAATAACTAGTCACGTGAACATACCACTGTGCGGCGTTAATGACTCTGAAATCAACAATACGCGACCAAAACATTACACAAATCATGTGCCATAAATAACGGAATAAATACTAATATACCAATACATCTTTTCATCCCTCCAATGATGTTTTATTATAGTAACATTTAGTAATTAACTGTAATCGACAAACGGTATGCTTGACCAAAAACGATGTTATTCCATTGGTTATTTCTTTGCAGGGATGCTACTAGTTTCTTCGGTATTTTATTTTCATGATTTGCTTAGGGAACAACTTTTCCATGCGTTTCATAGGATTATATTTGTATGAGAAACAGCTTACAAATCGGGTAATTAACTGGGCGCTAACGAGCACATTCAATTCTCTGAGCATGATCATGGAAGACTAGCATATATGCAGCACCCGGTTAATTGAATTTATTAAGGCCTATTCCAGACTTTATCATTTAAACTTTATGTATATCCATATTTCTGTCGTTATAAAACTGACAAGCAATTTTACGTTGTAACTCCATTGCCGTGTTTGCTGCTTAGCAGCTTATATGCATATTCATTTTTAAAACGCGGAATGCTTTTGGAAAAGTGTAGCGCAATCTATTTGAACTTACGGAGATCCATCGGTGTTTTAAACTACACATTATGCACCGTCATACTTGATGTTCATTGCGCCATTAACATGGGAATACAAGACCACTTTAATGTTCAGCTCGAACTTACCGCTCTTTTTGGGCTGCTTAGTGCTGCTGTCGCTGCTGCTGCTGTCTGCATGGGTGATGAGATAAAAGCGCTGTCTTTAGTAGCGAACTTTTGCGAGAATTACACATTTTCTACTGCGGATAATAAGCAAATGTAAGTGTTGCATTCCGCCGAAATAAAGAAACAGTTACATAAGATCAATACTAAGAAGAAAATCCGGAAACTGCGCTTAATTCGAAGCGACCTGCATAGCTTATTGCTACATTCTGGTAGGAGATATACCAGAGTAACAGTTAGAGAGACAAGTATTAAAAATTCAAAAAGGTTCAGGACAGATATTCCATCATTCTGCGAAACATCAGCAATGCGCATCTGGTATCTGACAAGTGATATTAGAACTTGCAACACTACTCTAACAATCCGGAGTATGAGGTTCCTTGCGTTAAATCCTACAGGAATTATAAACTGCAATAGTGACCGTGCAATTTAACTTGCCCATATGCACGTTGACAAGTACTGTTTAAGTCTAGACGATAATTAAAAATGTAGAGTTTCTGATGACAACTCAGCTTTCTTGTACAAGTTGAGCGAAGAATATATGTTTCCAGTCTTGAGTACTTTGCATTCTATGCATCTCGTTCGATTCGATATTCTGCACAGGGATGGCCTCACATTTACCCCTCCATCATTCATGCGACTTACGAGGTTCTGGTACACTGTCCACACAGTTATTAGAAAACAAAGAGCAAATGATTATTCGCATTTTAACATGATGCACTTGTTGTGGGTACGTGTTGTGGCGTCATTTATACACTCTAAATTACATACTGCATCACTCCACTAAGCGCGAAGTCCGTTATGTAATGTAGTGAGATCATATAAACTGCTAGGTGAGTTGTTTGTTCAACTTTAATCTGATAAAGCAACCTTAACAAACCACAAGTTAACCTGTACCATTTGTGATAGTAATAGGTTGCTCTGATTGATTATCGTCTTTAGGAGGACTACGTATTCAATTCCTAGATGAAGCTTAGTGAACAGAATTGTAAGAGCTGACTCAGTGACACAAACCTGTGCCTCTTACCTGATCCGCATTTGTTCCTTATTCACCTTTACAGAGGGTGAATGAAGTTGAGGTTGGGATTTGTGTTAAGATATTATGCATGGTCTACCGAAGTCTTGGAGCATGGAATCGTCACTAATCTGAGTAGTTTCAAAGCTCATTAGTTATACCGCTTAAATATTGTCAAACAAATTAGGGAATGATGAGTACAACCTTCAGCAGATAGTGAGATTAGCGGAGCCAATTGCAGTCGGGAAATCAATGCACATGAATCTACTGTCTGTACTATGATAAACTTACCTTTATTCAGAGGGATTTGTGTGGGTGTCGTTGCTGAGGAAACAAAAGAGTGAAAATGCAAAAGGTTGGTTACCCTTATGTCAACTTATAAAAAAGGAAATATATTTAACAAAACAAGGTTATAATATGTGTGATGTGACTGTTTATCCATCAGAGTGAATACCAGCTAGGTCGAAGCAATCAGCGATTTGCAAACTTGAAAAGCATTTCAACTGCAAGGTAATTTACTACCATTTGGTAAAATACAGAAATCGAAGTCGCGTGTAAAGCCTAATAATCGTACTCAATTTGATATAACCGATTGTGAACTCGAATATATTGGTTTTCAACCAGTATTTAATTGTTCTGCTCAAAGCCTGAGGCTGTTTTCATGATACAGGGGTTAGATGTGAGCGTGAATTACTTAAATCCCTCGTATTGGGCACGAAATCTGATCGTTTCTCTCACTTCCGTGGCGAGAACCAGCAACTTGTACAACACGTTACTGTAGCTAATGGAGCGGTCAGAGATTACGCAATCGAAGCTTTGGGAAGCCTTATTTTACCGATAGTACAAGGCAGTAGCGATATGTCTCACTAAGTACAACTTAGATCGTGCTTATTTTTAATGCTGTTTACGCGATGACTTGCACTATATCGGACACAGGATAGGGAATCAGGTTAGATAGATTACAAGGCTTTGTTCTACATCAGCTAGTGAACGGCCTGTTGACAGCCGATGTCCACATTAGTGATATTACCCGTAGTATACAGATGAGTTCAATATCGACCTACAACATCATGGCTTTTCCATACACACAACTGCAAATTTGTCGTTTGCTAAATATCAAATTGTATGTAATTGTTGTCAAATACCGAACAGTCACCTTTTGGATGCTGTGAAAATTCTGTTAGAGGAAATGGCTTGATTTTTTGATTGCTGTGGTAAGGTTCATATTTTGAATGTTAGAGTCCATACAGGCCCTTGTCTCATTCTTTTTATTCCGCAAGGTTTCAAACATATTTTGCTCAACTAATTATGCAAAGAAATGCTGCCAGAGATGTGCTTTAATTTCATGGATTCTGCTCGTAACCCAAAATGTCCAAGAATGAGGCGCCCACAGCGACATGGTCGTCTACACTGGTTCAGATTCCATATAATACTCAAACAGAACATATTACACTCTCCAATGACAAGTAATTTGCTCGGCAGTTGAGTGATTCTGGAGGCACGATATCAACTCAGGATAATTCTACATCGGTGTAAATTTTGCTGACTGTAATGACTAAATGGAATTATCAAATGGTTGAGGAACTTTAATAAACAACTGAAATGCAGGTCCTGCATGAAAAAAAGCGAATTGGTACTGCAAACCAAGTCATACCTAATGTTACCGAGGTCAATCGCTGCGCTATGCTACAAATTGTGTGTCGGCATACTTGATGTTACTTGGACCATCCATATTGGAATACAAGAACGGTATAACAGTCAAATTGAACTCACCGTTCCTTTTGGGCTGATTGATGCCACTACTGTCTGCATGGGTGGCAGGGGAAATGTTTTGTCATTAGAATCGAATTGATGCCGCTAAAAAGCAAATGCTAATCCTGCATTCCAAGTACAGAAATGCTCATACAAATACAGTACTTATGAGTCAGTATTGCCAAAGCACGTAATACAGCAGTGCGCCTCTGGTATGTGATAAGTGAGGTTAGAACCGGCAGCGCTAGCCGAACAAGCCGGGTAAAGTGTCTCTTTCAGTGTCTCTTACAAAGATTATAAACAGAGTCAAAGTTCCGTGTAGCGCACTTATAAGCCCCTTGACAAGTATTGCTTAAGTCCAGATAATATAAATAGTATCTGGTCACAATCCAGCTTCCTGGTTCAACCAGCGAAGAATATAGGTTTTCAGTTTCGTGTATATTGTAAAGGTAGGTATCTCATCCGATTCGAATAATTGCGCATGGAGTACCTGACGTGCAACCCACAAATACTCATGCGAATCATCAGGTTCAGGGATGCGGTATTCCGATTTATTCTTAGTAGGCTGTTTGTTCAAAGTAAATCAGATTAAACGACCTTAACCAACTGTCAGTCAAGTGCAATATTTTCAATGGTAAAGGAGAACCCTTATTGCCTAATGTCTTTAGGATGACTTCTCACTTTATTACTGGAGGAACACTCGTACAGATGAATAGAGGAGATGTCTCGTTGTCACTCCAACCTCATTTGCCTTGGTCCTTTAGAACCTTTACTAAGGAAGAATTAAGCTAAATAGATCAGATTTGCCACATGGTATCATGCATGTTCTACTAGATTCATTGAGCATATGGTTTGTATTAGTTAATATTAGAAGCTCTTCATTGACACCTGTTTTGATTTTGCCCACAAATGATTGAAAGACGAATGAAACCTTTGATAAATAGTGAGTTTAGCGGAACCGGCTGCAATTCGGATTATGTAAAACTTACTTCTCTTTCGGGGGATTTGTTTGGCCGGTGTTGCTGTCGAAAACAAAGGTAGGAGTATACGAATGTTAGGTTAATCTTGGGTCATTGTTTATAGAAACCATGCTCAGTGGGAACAGAAACGTCAAAAATAATCGATGTGATTTTTAACAATCGTATCATATTTGCAGACCAGCTAAGCAATTCGGTTCACATGTAAGAATAGGACCAGTTGATTAATGTCAAAGCAAATGAATAATTGTAACCTTCGAAAACAGCGCAAACTCGTTCTCTTACGCATTTCTAAGGTAGATTAAAAAACTTCTATTCTAAACGACTCCATGCAAACCGATTTAATATGAGCAAGTCATTTGCGTACTAAAGTGGTAGCGGCTACTCCACATTGCAGCAAGACAGTTGCTGACGCGAGGCACATGGCACAAGTCTCTATTAAGATAGTTTGTAAAGTCGCGACTGTGTTACTCATAATCATACCGCGAAGAAACCAGGCGATTGTGACAGCTTCGGTGAAAAGAACGAAG